TAGAGAAGCCAAGCCACAAACTAAGGCTAGCTGTCACTAGTGCCAAACTTGGGGATAATAGGCAAGGGGTACGGGAAATGCCAAAGCTATATACTATTTGTTTGGGTTTTGAGAACCTTAGAGATTTTAGTAAGCTCCACAGCATGAGCCAAGACAGGTTGTTTGTATGGAAAAGCCACTGGAAGCAGCTTGGGTAGGCCTGAAAATTGGTGAGGCGGAGTCTCAGGGAATTATCAGGGAGGGTGGGACTAATCAGCGGTGTTAGCCAGGTTGATGGAGAATCAGACATGGCGGCTGCCTGTATCTTCACGCTGGGAGTGGGAAGGGCTCAACAAAGAAACAGTGGCTTCTGCCAGCTCCTCAGTCCAGAAGAAAGCTGTCCCTCCAGCCCTCATTCTGAAGCCAGACAACTCAGTTCCTTCCTCTATGTCCCTGGTGCCTTTTGAGCTGCGCCAGTGATGGAGCTCAGAGGGAGTGAGTCCATCAGTGAGTAAGTCTGTGCAAGGGACGTTTAAGGGCAGGGCCTGAGACTCCAGCCAACCTCGTCTCACTGAGCCACAATTTCTGCTGTTTTTCACAGCCAGAAGTTATGGGACTTCTTTCCTTGGCACTGGGAACCCTGGGCTGGGAAGCCTGGTGTGGGGCTGAGACCCCTCACTCCTCCTGGGGGGACTTCTGCGCTGAGCTATCCCTCCCTATTTTTAATGGTCACACGTGAGTTTGGGACCAGCCCATGCTGGCCTCTGCCCCTCCTGCCAGTCTCAAGGTGGCTTCTTCTATATGTCTGTAGTTGTAGGGTTTCGGTTCAGCTAGACTTCAGGTGATTCTCAATGATGGTCGTTCTGTAGTTTAGTTGTGATTTTTTTATGTGATCATGAAAGGAGGCAAGCACAGTATTTTAGAATACTCTATTTTGTAATGCGAAGAACTTTTCCTTTCTTTAAAGAAATAAAAACTCTCCTTTATTCAGCAATAAATTGTTAAACTCCCAAGCTTCTCTTTATAACTGTCTTTGACTATTTCACACCCCTGTGGACATATCATTAGGATACTAGAAGAATGGAAATAAGGAAAGGTGAAAATGAAAGAAAATAGAGATGATCCATAAAGTCATCATAAATTATAAACCATATGAAATAACAGCCCCCCAAAGGAGTACCTTACACATAGTTGAATTGGTCTAATAAAGTGATAGTATTTTATCCATGACTGAATGGCTAAGAATAATTTATATAAATGTCAAGCATGCAATGACAAACCATGAAAGCACAGGTTGGACTGCCTGCTTAGCCTGGAATTTCTAATACATTTTTAAAGTGTGCCTAAGAGTTCTTGTGAACAGTTTTAAAGAGTTTGTAGACCAGGTTACCTTCTTTTTTTTACTGATGCTGGTCAAAAAAGAAAAAAAAATACATCAAAGCATGCAATATAAAAATTACTTAAGTTGTAACCAGGAGAACAAACCTTTTAATTAAATCTTTTAATTAAAGCAGACCATAGCCTGCTTACTAGTAGAAGTAGCTGAACTACGCTGCTTTTCTCAGACAGAAAAGAGAAAGTGCGATCTTCCTGTTTCTAATAATATTCTGTAAGCAAAAAGGAAATGGTTATGACTTATTTCTAGTTATTATAAGCTATCAAATTTTCATGACTTTAGGGGCATGGACCACAACTAGGCACTATCACACAACCATCAATAAAGATTCAGATCTTAGATTTTCTCATTTATAATCACACCTCTAATTTATGGATCATGTTTCAGTTTACAGAAGCTGATAATAAGTAAAAATAAGTTTCCAAAGCAGAAATAATACCATAATTAAAATTTTAATAGGAATAGTGTCCAAATCCAAAATATTCAAATTTTGCTACTTTGGAAGGATAAATGCATTTTCATAAAAGTCTCGTTAAGTATGCATCACAGGGATGTATACGTTTGTCAAAACTCTTTAAATTGTGCACTTATGCCCTGTCCATTTAACTATACATAAATCATACCTTAATTTAAAAAGAATTTAAAATGCATCCTTAACCATATGGCCCAAAGTGCTACAGTCACATAATATAAGAGAAAAATCCAAAGAAATAGAAATGCTCAGGCTGTTTCCTATTGATTTCTGCAGTCATTTTGAATCTTCTTTTCTTCAACCACTATTTGATCATTGGTTCTGTTCCTTTGGGAATGTGTAGAGAAGCAATTGAGCCAACTCTTTCTGTGTTTTTCACACACCTTGTCCCTAAGCATTCATGATTTAGAGAATGCAAGGTAGACTTTGAAGGGAACATACGTATCAAGGGGACTACATAAAAGTATTAGCTTTTTTGTGGCTAAAAGGGCTTTTCTTTGTTCTCTTACCAGGGGAAAAAGTTTGCTGTGGGCGAGTTCCCCATGGCAAAGCTCTTTGAGGAATGAATTCTGAAGTGCATTCAGCCATGTCTTCAGGACCTTCCACTTAAAGTATTTAAAAGGGATAGTGGGACATTGTCCTTCACCACCTTTTCTGTCTTTGATGGGTGATTTTAGCCAGTCTGAGATTTTGATACACTTCCTAGGACACCTCAAAAAGTGTCTTAATAAAAGCAGCTTTGTGAAAGATTCCACATTTACTAAGTCAAAAAAGAAAAAAATTCTTCATAAATGCTAAATACAACATTAATGCAAACTCAAAAGTTTTCGGTAAAGGAGTATTCAAATGTGATACAACTTTTTTGTTCCTATTTACAAATGAAATTTATACAGAACATTAACTACTGGTAAATTTACAAATAAATTTATCAATAAGGGATTTCATACGGTGAAAAAAAAACTCCTTGTACCTGTGGTAGTATATTGCTCAAGGCATGAATTGAGAAAGTATAAAAAAAAAGAAAGAAAAAGTCTTGCATAAGGTCTGTTCTCACTTTTCTGTTCTTCAGGGTCAGTTAGTTTGTCAGGCTGATGTGTTAGAGCAAGAAGTAGCTTTAGAGATCATCTAATCATTTCCCTCAATTTTACAAATGGAAAAACTGACTCAATTTCTTGTGACTTGATTAAGGTCATTCACGAGGATCAAATAATAGATCTCTCACATGGTTACCTTCACATTTTCACTCAATTTAAGGTAAAACTTCAATTAAATATTACCAATGTCTAAAACACTGTTCTCTCAAAATAGGAAAAAAAATATTTTTAGACTCTATGTAATTAAATTAATCAAAAGCACAGTCTGTGTAACCACATAGTCTTGGATTCAAATCATAGTCCACAACTAACGAGCCATGTGACTTTGAGTGAATTTCTAAGACTCCATTCCACTACCTGTAAAATCATGAAAAACAATTCCTAACTCAAACACTGCTATGAGGGAGTCAAAGAGTCCCTGCAAATGAGGTGCCTAATATAGTTAGTAGGCCCTATAATTGGTAGCCAATAATTGTATTTTAAATTCCAGATGAGGATTGTGTATGTTTTATCTTAAAATTATTTTCTTTTGCTCTTGAGCCCTACAGATAGAGTTACTAAAATATAATTCAATAACTTAAAATGTAATTATCAAATCTATAAAATATATTTCTGGAGCTCAACTTGTGGCAGGTATTGTGATGGTACCACAACAACATACACGTTTTCAGGATGGTACCTATCCTGAAAAAGAAATTCACATGAAATCAATAGGGACCCATAAAACTCTGTATGTGATCAAGTGCTCAATGATGTTTAACAGTGTTACAGTGCTATGAGAAAAAGGAAGAGGCAGATCTCAGTGAGGCTTAAAGTAGACATGTAGGATTGAGTGGAAGAAAGATGAACACAAGTGGTGGTGAAGATAGTGAGTAAATGGGAGAGAAAGTGGCCCCATCTGTAGGGTCTCTATGTGTGGTGGGAAGTAGGCTTGTATGGGAAAGGCAGGTTCAAAACTGAGCAAAATAGTCATACTCCAAATGAATGTATGGAGCACCTATGGAATTCCTCATTCACATAACACTGTATGTTGTTACTTAGGTCAGCTTTGAAGCAATTGGATGTTGACCTTGTTTTTACCCAGACGGGGAGGATACTGTGCTCAAAATAGCCAGATTTGGAATCAGCACTCACAACCCTAGACCATATTTCTCATTCCTTTCGCCTTACTCCTTTAGCATGTTCTTTAGACCATATTTCACACTTAAAATTCACCTTTTAAAATACAAATTGATTTCCCACTTTCACTTTCCCAAAAGCATTGCACAGGAGTCAGAAATTCAAGATTCGGTCCCATGTATGCCATTCACTAGCTGTGAATCCAACAAGCCACCTCGTCTGTAGATGAGTTGCTACATGAAATGGTTCCTTCTGGGTCAGAAATTTCACAGATCCAACCAGTTGCCTGTAAGACAGCAGAGTCATAAAACGTGCACCACACAGCTTGAATTTCTGACTTCTGTTTTATAAAATCTTTGGGAAAAACCATCAGTCTCTATTATTTCTCGCTATCCCATAAAATGTGAGTTCAAGGATGGATACGAAAAGATTATTTGATGGCTCTGCCTGAGAAATATCATCCTGAATTTGTATGGCAGCTTTCTGGTTATTTTCCTGTCCCCCATAGGTACCAGGTCTCTCAACAGTCTACAAATCCCTGAGATGGCCTGACCATAACACTTGAGGACATAGCAGGAAGAGAGAAGAGCCCCTGCTCAAGACCATAAGGGAGGGATTTTAGTCCTATCCTAGGACAGCGAGAGGGCTTGAGAAGGAAGTGTCGTGCTCTTCCGTGTTGGGAAGGATGTGGACTTGACATTGAAGAACAAAACAAAAAAAGAGCAAAGGGCAGCACCCCCCCCCCAAAACAAAAAACAAACAAACAAACCAAAAACAGGTCTTAGATATCACGCGGGGTATTTAGTGGAAAGAAAAGTCACAGTAGACATTAAAAGTCCATGTTAACACGTTTAATACAGAGCCCTGTGCTAGCCTAGAGCCCAAGTGCGTCACCGAGTGCGCAGAAACTTGTCCTTGGTTTAGGCTCCTCGTCTGAAGAACTCAAAACTATGACACAGCGCCTGGCGCATCTCTGGCTGAGGACTGACTGCCCTCTCCGGCGGGCAGCTCCGGCTGATGCTGTCCAGGCATCGCCCAAGGCGAAAGGTTTCCGCGCGGTCAGGAGGCGCGGGAGGAGTCTGGCGGTGATTGATGGGGAAGGGACGAACGAATGTAAGTACTTGTCTAGGGACAGCAGAGACCCCAAGTAAGCTGTGGAGGCTAGACGGTCTGGCATTCCCTCAGCGTTTCGTCAGAGCCAGACCCGCCTGCAGCTGAAGGGCTATGTGCTCTGGTCCCGGAGCAGGACGAACCGAGCTGTGCGAGCCCAGCGCTTCCCAGGAAGGAAGTCCTCGCTGGTCGCTCTGCGCCCGGTGCGTCCCACTCGCGGGATAAACATGATGGCTTGGTGTCGAATTAAAATCAGTGATTGAACCTTGTCCTGGGTTTTAAGCTTGGATTACTAGTTTGGGATATTCCCCAAATATATGTAATATTACATAATATACATATATTACAAAACACAGCGAATTGCGGTTGGAGTAAAGGAGGGCGTGTGAATGTTTGGAGCCATTTGGAAGGGACAGAAGCTTCGGAATTAGTGCTAAGTCTTCCCGAGTCGGACGGAGTTGAGAAGCCTCAGGTTTTGCGAGTTAGCCCGCGCACTCGTGCTGGCGCCCAAGAGCCTGAGAGCAGGCAGCCAGGGAGTAGCGGCTTTCACCCACCAGGAGGAGTCTTGGCGTTCAGAGACGCGGTATCGGAGTTCCCCGCGGAGCAAAATGCAGAAATTGGCACATGCCCTTGGCCTCCAGAAGCCTTGATTTCCCCAGTCCCCACGCGCCCTTAGCCAGAACGTACATGCTTACTCAGGGCATGCCAAGGAACCCAAGAGCTTTGCCTTGGACACCCACCCATTCTTCCCTCCCTGGAACACCCCTTCCAGAGTGCCCCGCCCCATTGCGAGTCATTTACCACCGAGGGGAGGCGGGGGGAGGGCGGGAGGAGGACGCAGGGGAGAAAAACCACTGGGAAAGCTAGTTCAGGAAGGATAGTCGACCGGCGCAGGCAGGTCACACACGCCAGTTTCCCCTGGCGCGTAAACTTGAGTTACTTTTGCGCGCATAGAAACCGCGCCTTTGCGCTCTGCGTTAGCGATTTGCAGGGGCGTGACTGGGATAGCTGACCTAAGTGTCCTGTCTTTCTTCGCCTGCTGGTTTTCCAGACTCTGAAAGCAGCGGAGCGGCCACCCAACGCTCACTGGAGCGGGCAGCAGCATGCAGCTGCTGCCAAGCCTGTGCGGACGCGCCCTGGTGGCGTTGATCCTTGCCTGCAGAGTGGCCGGTGTCCAGGGAGAAGAGAGGGGATTCCCGCCGGCTGGGGCCACTCCGCTACTTTGGGAGACCAGAGAGATAATGACTCCCCCCACTAAGACCTCCTGGACGAAGGGGTCCAACGCCAGCGTGCCGGGGTCTTCCGCACCGCCGCAGATGCCTAAAGCAGGGAAGCCGGTAGGAGCCCCGCCACGCACCTTCGCCCCTCCCCCGTGCAATGGATCCATCGAGATCAAAGAAACTTTCAAGTATATCAACACGGTGGTGTCCTGCCTAGTGTTCGTGCTGGGCATCATCGGAAACTCCACACTGCTGAGAATCATTTACAAGAACAAGTGCATGCGAAACGGCCCTAATATCTTGATAGCCAGCCTGGCTCTGGGAGACCTGCTGCACATCATCATTGACATCCCCATCAGTGTCTACAAGGTAAAGGGCGCCCGCTGCTATCGCGATGGGAGAGCGACAGGCTAGATAGGGGGATGGGAGAGCCGTTGGAGGAAGCTTACTCAAGATCCATCCCCTCCTAAAAGTCAGTGACCTTTGGAACCAAATTCCCTTCTGGTCTTCAGGACCCCCTGCTAAGCCCAAGTGTAGTCCCCAGACCAGCGCATCAACATCACTTGGGAATGTGTTAGAAATGACATTGTATGGTCTCAGACCTAATCTAGGTGGGGCACATTTTTTTTTTAATTTTAAAAGCCTTCCATGTGATTATGATGAACTGTAAAGTTTGAGGACCGCTAGTCCTGAAGGATCTTGTCCCTAAGTCCAGCTCACTCGGTACATTCTCTCCACTCTAAGGTTTGGTCCAAGGACTGGCAGAATTGGTGTCACCTGAGAGCCTGTTGGAACTGCAAGTCCACCCCCAGACTTGCTAAATCAAACCTGCATCTTAAAATACCTAGGGGATTTATAGGCACACTAACCATGGGAAGAATTTTCTTGGAGAACCCTGAAAGCAGAGGGGCTGGAATCCATTTTTAGGAAATGGTCTCGGAGAAAGAGACCCAGGCTGGTGAGCAGGAGGACTCAGTTCCCCTGCTGTGAACGACTATACTGTTTTTACTTTTTATTGGATGCCCACAGTGAGCCAAGCACTGGGATAGATGTATCAATTTCCTTTACTCTAACAACTCACAAGTAAATATTACTTTATTTTACAGATGATTAGTAGGATGTCCAAGGTCTCACAATGAGTAAGAGATGGAGGTGGGAATCAGGCTAATCTGCCAGGCTCCAAAGTGCTAGCTGCACCCCATAAATCACCTCATGGACAAGACCAAAAGCACTCAGCTTAAAGTCTATAAAGAATGGTTTCAGTAGCTAACATTATTGCGGGACATCACCACGGGCATCAGCGGGAATAGGCACAGAGAGCAAAGGCAGGGCATAAACTCCCACACTATTTGACTCCAGGGGTTACTTTGGAACTCTGGACACACCCTAACATCTCTGGGCCTCAGTTTCCTCAACTCTACTGAGGCTGCTAGTGTCCACTTACTGAGGTTTTATGGTGTTAAAAAAAATAGCCAAAGCAAAAGAACTGGAAAAGTTTGAAGGACTGTGCAAATATGAAAAACTCTGTTTCCCCATCATGACCAGCAATAGACAATCGCACATAAAACAGAACCAAAGTGTAAGGGAATGGGAATGGGTTTTACAGGTTTTCTTAAAGCTAGTCATAGAATTGGTGCAGAAAAAAAAAAAAGGGTTGTAGGGTTGGGAAAGCTTGTAGAGGGTGTTTCAATCTTTGTGGCAGGAGAATGTGTAAGGCATGCCTTGAAATTACCCTTCATGAATTCCTGGAAATCCTAATCCAAATAGCAATATTTAAGAGAAACCTAGATATTTATGAGGTTGAGAGATAGGATTTGAATTAGAATTCAGGTTCCAGAAGGAAATACTCCCAGAAATGAAGGATAAATAAAAAAAATTCTAAAAGCCTGCCTAACAACTGGTTCTTATGAACTCTGAGGGTTACTGAGAGATGCACCAGCTGAAATGGGTCATTTAAATGCACTCACAGCTCCATGTGGGCCAAAAGTGACCCTTTTACTTTTTAAGGAGTCACATAGATCAAGTCTTACCACCTCAATTTGGTAGAGGAATTTCAATTCAGTTCATCTAAACTGACTTGAGAAACCTTAGAGTACAAGGTGGTGGGAGAAATTTTAAAATAAGTGAAATAAGATCTCTCTCCAAAGGGAAGTTACATCTAGTTTTGCTAGGCTTGCACAGAATTTTGTGGAAGGTCTGTTTCCTAGGGAGGCCCCAGGAAGCCCCGTACTTCCAGCCCAGTTAGCGACCTTCGGAAGTCAGCCAGCACCTGAAGTGCTGTATGGAAGGTGGGGTTGAGCACGTCTTTCCTTTGCTGTATTGATTCAGGCAAGATGTAAATCAGCTCTTCCAGGGCCATTCAACTTTCCCTATCGGGTCAAGTTATTGCACTCAACAAGTCAGAGAATGTTTTACTCCCAAGGGGGAACACAGCTTTTATTTTCATTTCAAGTTCCTTTATGATTTCCTAGGAAGTTACATCCTTTGCCTGAAGCCATTTAGTCTGTTAAAGCTGTGTTTTTACTTCTGAAATAAACAAACTAGTGAGTCAGTACAAATCAGGCCATCTCATCTTCTATATTGGTCATAAACAAATCTGTTACAAAGCGTTAGGTCCCATCTCTAGGTTTACCACCATTGGACCCTACATGGTAGCCTTTGGTTGATTTTTATAGCATGTGTAAATAGGTCGCTTGAGGCGTAATATAACAATAATGGCAACCATTTATTATGGTACTTGGTTTATTTATTAAAGCACTGCAACAAACCTTATGGAGGAGGTGTTGTTACCACCCCCATTCTACGGGGAAACTGCATGTTGGAGAGATGAAGAAGTAACTTGCTCAATGTCACACACTAGAAAGTGGTGAAACTAGGCTGGCACCCAGGCCATCTGGCCCCAGAACCTGTGATCCTCCCGGTCCCCCTGCACTGAGCAAGCTCAGGCACAGCGTGCTTTCCTCCAACCTGGAGTATTGTTCGCTCCATTGGAGTACGTTGGTGGCATTATGTGATACACTACCACACAGCAGGATACTTGGTAAGCATTTTCAGTTTTAATTTCAGTCATCTGAAGTCATCTTTCTATCTCCTGAAATACCCTTCAGATGGTTTGTAGTATATAGCACTGATAACAGCATTGTTTGTTATTCTAAAAGCTTTATTTTCCAAAACACCGAATCCAGCACTAGATAAAAACCATTTATTCCCCTAAATAATTATGAGATTATATAAGTAAGTTTCTAAAAATGCGCTTATTATTTTAATCAGGTATTATACTTCACAGAAAGTAATTTAAGTGAATTATAATGCCATTTAAATTTATCCTAAAGAAAACCAGTGATTTCTAATTTTCTTTTTGTGGAATGTTACAATTCTCTTTGAGAATCAAGTTAATTATTTGTATTATATATAACTAGTACATTATATATAATTTATGTGACTAAAAATAACTGTATTGGGTGTAAACAAATACAGTGATTTGTTTACTGGCTAAAAACTCCCTCACAGACCATGCCGTGTGAGTTGGTGCATTGTCATGATGCAAGAGCCATGTATTGTTGGTGAAAAGTTCAGGTCGTCTAACTTTTTCATGCAGCCTTTTCAGCACTTCAAAATATTAATAGTAAACTTGGTTAGCTGTTTGTCCAGTTGGTACAAATTCATAATAAATAATCCCTCTGATATCAACAAAAGGTTAGCAACATTGTTGCAACAAGTTCAAGAACATAATTGTCATATCTGGTGTGTGTGTGTGTGTGTGTGTGTGTGTGTGTGTGTGTACACACACATATACAATTTCTGGGGTTTCATAGAATCCTCCAACCCATCTGTTGGCACACCCAAGAGCCAAGAAATATCAATGTAAATCTATTACATTAATTTGGAGTTCAGTAAATCTGGAGTTCAATAAAATTGACAAACCACAAAATGTCATAGCTCTTGCTGGAAGCCATAGTGTTTGATACCACTGTAGAATGAGACAGGACATCACAGGGAGGTGCTGCTGTGACAGGATGACAAATGTTAGGAATATGTCTGCTCTGTCAGAATCTCTCATGGAACTGGATCTCTGGAAACTTCTAGATAGAGTCAGTCCTCTTACCAGGTCTCCTGTGTTAAGGAGGGAATCCTGTGTTGAAAGCCAAAGAAGTATCGCAGGACATTCAGCAAACTGAAGCTGTTAAAATGCTTCAAATACTCATGTAAGCATGCTGAAAATAAAAGCTTTGTTTAGCCTTCTTAGCAGCACACACTAGGGCTGTTAAACACAGTATTACATAAGACCACCCAGGTGAAAAATTAAAAATGCAATCATCCAAAGAGGATATTTAAAAGTATATAGTATATACTGGGGTATCAGAAAAATGCATACAAGTGGACACTTTGGTCAATGTTGCTCAAGCAGTAGTTCGCTGTAATCAGAAGTGTCTGGACGCTGATGGAAACCACTTTGAGCACCCCTTGTAATTAAAGAAGTCAAATGTGACTTGTATTCATCTTTTGTTATTGGTATATATTCAGTATTATAATTTTAATAGTTTTTCCTTTCTTAAAATGTGTATACATTTTGGGGGGCACCCTCTGTATATATGTGATACGTATGTATGTATGTATGTATGTATATGTATACCGATATAAATATATTAAGTGTTATAAGAATGTATAGCTACATAAGTAGATAGGTGAGTATCATTTGGCACAGTGCCTGGCACATATTAAACAAATTAATTAGTGTGTGCATGTGTGTGTGTGTGTGTGTGTGTGTGTGTATAATAAGAATGGAAATTTGTTCAAGTTTTTTTTTTAGCTTTTTGCCATTATAAGCATGACTACAAATAACATCTTTGTACATAGGGCTTTGCACACATGTGTGATTATCTGAAGGGTAAGTTTCTAGAACTAAATTACTGAATGAAAAGGAATTGCAGTTGTAATTCTGATAGATATTGCCATATTGTGCTTTACAGTTATTGTTGTATTCTTACTTTGAATCACTATGTTATACATCTCCATAGAGATATACATAGATTGATGTCTATCTCTGATATAGACATGGGTCAAGATGTCAGTGTTTGTATGCTCTATATATGTACCTGACCCTAAAGCCAGGGTGTAAGTATCCAAATATGAGAATGCACCTCTCCCTATGCACACTTATTTATGTCCTTTGTTATATTCATTTTAGACTAAAATGAATGGGGTAATCTGGATGTTCATTGCCTGTGACAGCCAATCTGACTATTACATAAGTTGTAGGAGCACCAATGTCAAAACTGTGTGGGAAGCAAAAGAGCTGGGTGTCCTTGTGGATGTTATGAAGGGTTTTATGCTGTTGGCTGGTTGGTTAGTTGGTTTGGCTTGGCTTC